GCGAGGCACACAGGTGAGAAATGAGGCAAGAAACAGCCAAATCCACTTGTCATTTCAGGTGCTGGAAGAACAGATTCACAGCTGTATTGCAGAAGCAGAGCAGGCTCTGCACATCCCTAATCCACCTGCTTTGCTCTGGTGCCTTGGACAAGGGAGCTCAAAAATATTAGTGTGTTCTACACAACAGGCAGCTGGGGAAGCAGCTGAACTTCAGCGAACTTTTGCAATCACAGGCAGTAAAAAGGAAATAAGGAACTCGCTCACCTCAGTCAGCCCTGAAATCCCTGAGAAAAGGGCAAAGAAGGAACACACAAGCAAAGGAACTACAGACTTCCTAGGATACCAGTCCAAGGAGTACTGGTACTTCTCCCTGGAGTACAGCTACACAGGACTGGGATACCCATGGACAAGACTTTGAAGGAGAAATGCTTCTCCCAAAGGAAGACTTGTCTGTGGGAAGTGGGGGGTGCAGGGAGAAGAGAGGGAGAAACCAGCTGAGAGGTGAGTCTGCAGCACCTGCACCTACCTTATGTAGTGCCAAGGAGTGACCGTATCTCATCTCTACAGAGTTCACAGCGTTGTTCAGCGGAAGCCACTCTTCAGAAATAAGATCATAACTGCATAATGAGAACTGAATTAATTTCACAAGAAGTACATATTAAAGTTGAGAAAACTATTGCTCGTGTTTTCCAGAACTGGTGGGAAGTGACTGTATTTAACAGCAGTCCCAGATACCAAGATTTGCTCCCTTACTTAGTATCCACGTACTGGTTGGCTTTACCAGTGTTTTCCCTCCCACGGGACACCAAGAGCTAATGCTTTGTCTATTAAAGACAACTTACACCACATGGTCCACCCAAAAGAGCAGAAACAACTTCATGCTAAGCTCAGGTAAGTTCCAACTACTGCATAAACACCTGCCAGTGTTTAAATGGCTATCTTTAATTATGTCTTTGTCATTCAAGTGCAGGTTTTTTGTGAACCTGAAACAAGATAAAGCCTCTACTCTGAAAATAGCCTCTGGCCTTTTAGCTAAAGCATGAGCTCTATCAGGCTTATGGCCCTGTAAGATCAAATCAGCTCTGAGAGAGTGCTCAGTGAGCCACAGGATGTCTGGTGAAAAATCAGGCATGCCTCTGGAGAGTAAAAGCGTGGGAGCAATCCACAGCTCCTCTGCAACTACATGGGCATTTTTAGCCCTTGTTTAACCTCCCCTACCAGAATTATCACCTCTGGACACGAGTGCAGAACATGCAGCTCTCACTCAGGGCCATGAAAACAAGGAATGCAGCTATCCCTGGAAAAAAATCCAGCTTTTGCCTAGATCTGCCCCAATATTATCAAGCTCAAGTGGAAGCCTGAAAGGTTTTAATGGGGGATTTCCACAAGGTACACAATTATTATTTAATATCTCTGTTAAATCTCCTCATAATTGCATAAATGTCATAATCCCAAATGCCACTCTCTGCCCAGCATCCCATCCACTACACACAGACATCCACAGTAATCAGGAGATATTAATCACGGAGCCCAAGGCTCTGGAGTCATGCAGATATAACACGAGGAACGCTAATAACGCTGAAGCAAAACTGCCCTCTTTGATTACAAGGCCAGATGTGATTTAGAAGCTAGCCTAGAAATACACAGCAAACGGTTAAACACTGCCAGAAGTGGATGAATCCAAATCTTGACAAACATGAGGAACCCTATGTTTTTTTTTCCAAAATCAGCACCCCTCAGCACCACTTTCCCACATCTCAAACGTGAGTATAACTTTTTATTCCTGCTCTTTTCCTGGGAGATGGAGCATAGCCCTGTGCAGCACACTGGACGGCGTTCTCTAAAAACAATTCCCAAATCTCAAGTTCCTCTACTCAGGCATTATTATCTAGGTTTATACTCACGCTAAAACCTTCTGAGAGTCAGAATGATTGAAGACATAGCCTCCAACAATCCACATTTTATTGTCATGGATCACAGCTTTGTGAGATGCTCTAGGAAGTTTTGGAAGAGAGTATTCCTCCCGCGTCCAAAACGACTGGTTTGCAGGAACAGGAATTGAACAGCCAGGACCTGGGAAAACATGGTTTAAAAGGAAGCTGATTCTCTCAAAATCCTGTGTCTCAGCTAGAGGTCCATACCCTGCACCACAGGTGAGAAAGATGGGGCATGGGCCCATAACAGGCAGAAGCTCTGATCCTTGTTTCCTTGCCCAGGCCAGCAATCTGGGAAGGACCTGGTGTGCAGTCTCCCAGCTGTGCCCACATACTTCACATTCAAAGCTGTTCCCCGCCTATGGTTACAGGGGGCAGTGCGCAGACCCCTTCCCATCCCACATTAAGAGGGTAACCTCCAGCACTTACCTAGCTTCCATGTGCCCACAGAAGCCCCAGCCCAACCTGTGAGAGCTGCAGGAGAGGTGCTCAGCAGCATGCCCTAAAGCCCCAAGGCCTACGGCTACCTTTCCCTCTTCTCACTCCTCTCCTCCCCAGCCACACATTCTTGTAAACTGTCCATTTCTAATTTTTTCCTATACTTCTGCTTCCCTTAAACCAGCTTTTTACGTGCCAGGCTTCCCTCCCCATGGTGTGGCAGAAGAGGAGCAGCAAGGTCTCAGCAGAGCAAAAAGCTGCACGGGTGCTCTCCCCTCTCCTCAGCGACAGCCATCCCCACGCATAGGGTTACCACAGGCAACAGAGCACAGAGCCTGCTGAAGAGGTGCAGGCCTTGGCTAGGGAACAGGTTTGTAAGGACAACCTGCAGGCAGCCCAAAAAGGGAATCACTGTGTCACAGGTTTGGGGCCTCGACTGTAGGAGAGAGTGTCCGCTCACTCTTGCTGAGTGTCTCCAATTCAGGAAAGCAGACTGGAATCTGGCTTATCACCCTTGAAAAACTCCAAGTTTCAGAGGCAGAGCAACCATTTTCACATGTAAGCAAGTTTCAGAGTAAGAAAAGGGAGAACAGCTTGCATCTCATTCTGCTATGGTTTCGTTTGGGGCTTTTGGGGCAGGTCTGGTGGATTGTTTTGGTCTGGACTTTTGTTCCCCTTACAGAAATGAAAGTCAGGGGAAAACTAGGCGTAGGCTAACAATGAGCAAACACATGCCCCCTTTGCTGCCAGTGCACAGCCAGGCCCCAGAAAAGCATACGGAGGCACTGCACTGCAGAAGGGAATTGGTCTTCCAGCCCTGCAGTGTATTACACAGGAGAATTCCTGGTTTAAGGTTTCTACCTGATGCCTGCACACGAGAGGTCGGCACTGCCTGACACAGTAGTAGCTGCCTTTCAAAGCATTTGATACAAATGAAGTACGATACAAAAAGCAAGATAGTCAAAGTTCCTAATCAGACTGCTAACGCTTGTCAAGCAGAACATTCTCAAACACGCCCAATTGAACCGCAAAAGCCATACGCGGAAAAGGCAACCTCCCATCCAGAGCTTCTCAGCGTCGGCCGGGACTCACCTTGCCAGCCCGCAGAGCAGGAGCATGCCCTCGTGTCGTTAAGGTTGCAGTGGCCTCTCTCAGGCGCCCCACAGTCCTCTGTGCAGTACGGGATTTCGCAAGCTTCTCCCTTCCAGTACTGGGCACATTCACACTCCAGAGCGTTGCTGCTGTTACTGAGCTTGCACTCCCCACGGCCGGAGCAATTGTTGGGACACATGTTGAAGCTGCCAGCAGCGGGGAAAAGAGTTTGTCAGCAATGAAACAGACTCCCAAGCCGTGCCTCTCATTAATGAACACAACTGATGCTGAACAGAAGTTAACAGAGCTGTTTGTTAACACCGAGACCAACGAGAGCTGCTGCGCTGGAACCTGATGCGATGGACCTGTGAAGGTCTGTTCTAGGTCCATAATTTAGACCTGCCTCCCTTACCTAGTTAAACCAGACACATCCTTGGTGAAGGTCCAAATTCAGAGACCCTATTCATTTCCAAATTCCCGTTTTTGATGATCTATCAACCAGTAAAGCTCACAGATGGGAATGACTACCCAATATTCTCACTGTCAGATGACAGGTGGAGCCACCAGCTCCTAAGCGACGAGTACCTACATCCAGTAGTGACTACAAAGGCTGTTAAACTGAGAAGAAATAAATACACCCTTTTAGCTGCTCTGCAAAAAAACGTTTGGAGAAAACCTAGCGGCCAGACCACACAGACGAAACAAACCCCCAAAGCAGTGCTTGGAAACCGCTTGAAATTATCAACACAGTGGAAAATTAAAGAACTATTAAAATATCTCAGAGACACTTTAAAGAGGCAGATTATCCTTTAGGAGACTGCTGTGTGGCAAGGGTGCAGCACCGGCTGCTGGCAGCAGATGGTGTCCCGGCTTAGGCTATCAGCCCCAATGGAAATGGTTCAGCTTCTGTGCTCCAACCAACTTCAAAGGTTCATCGTTTTCTTCTGGAGCCTTCAAGCAGTGCTGAACACTACACATTTTTCAAAGAATCCGCTGTATATTTAAGTGCTTCATCAGGATGAAAGCACGAAGATTAGCACTCAGAAGCTGAGCACATCATTTTGAGGAAAACTTGCATGAAGTTGGTTGTGACTGGGAGAACCCTGGAATTGTTTTTAAAAAGCTTACTAATGGGGACTAAACACCTGCTAATGAAAAGAAAGCGCCCCTCTGTAATACTTCAAATATAAGCCAAAGAACATAATAAAACCATTGCAGACTAACAAGGAGCCAGAGGGAGCAACTGGATCCCAGGCCTGAGTAAGAAAGAGCATCCCACAGGGCACAGCATGCACCCGGTGACCCAGGTGAAACACGGGTGCTTATGCAGAAGAGCGGGAGTGCAGAGCATCCCCGCAGGGTGTATCAGCACAAACATGCACAAAACACATCTGCCTGGCTGAATATGATTAAATAAGTCTAATCATATAAGTAATACAATGTCTTTTTGCACAAACATTTGCCCACGTTTACGACTGACAACCAAAGTCACTGCTGAGCACATTCCCGTTATTAGCCTCTGCAAGGGTATAATAAAGATAAGAATCTAAATTCACATATCTACTCATAATTACATGCTTCACTGGCAATTGCTTGTTTCAAGACAAAACTGCAAGAAGAGGACACCCCCTCTGCTCAGCCCACAGCATCGCCTTGGAGCGGCACTGCTTACCTGTAGGTGATGTTGAACCCTGTTAAATTATAGGCAGCATCACTGAAGAAATGCAGAAGAGCATATCCAGAAGTAGCTACAACTTCTGGTACCGTTTCGTTGCTGTCTTTCTCAGGAACAATAAGACCACTGGAAAAGAGAAAAAAATCAGAGTGTTAGAAGTGAACTAAAAGGGATCAAAGCAACAGTAGTAAACACAACAGTAAATAAAATCAATTGGCACTCAAGCTGTTTGTTTCATCCATCTGAACTATAGCGAGTTTGGGTGAAGTAACGATCCCTTTCACAGGGCGGTGGTTATGGGATCAGTTTCTACACCAGAACTCCTTCAGCATTCAAAAGTACATGTCTCCATGCTGCGAGTATGCACAATCAGCCAACCCTCAGAACAGCCCCATTCTCAGAGGCATGAGAGCCCTCAAGACCAAAGATAACCCCACATGCTCCAGGGACCAGTTTATTAAGACCTCTTGCTTGGCTTAATTACCCGCAATGCAGTGAGCACGTTACTGACCAAGGAGCGCAGGCAACTGAGGACATCAGGGCCACAGAGAGCAGCGGGACTGCTGCCCTCCACATGAACGTCTACAAGGAGTGGGTGCAGAAAGGAATGCCAACAGCAAACCCTGAAGTAATCAGCCCGGCTAACTAAGTGTGGAAGTTGAGTAAATCTGAAGCTGTCTAGAATTCCAGTTTTTCTTACCAAAAACCTGCTTTCCCTCTTATTATTCTGCCATGAGTTGAACGGGACCAATTCCTACTACGGGTGGTGGATTGAAAACAGAACTAGCGTGTCCCAGAAGCACACAACCTGCAGTACACTAAGGCCAACAAAAGGCCTACGGAGCCCAATACTTTCTCCTGACGATGGGCTACAGTCCTTGGGAAGGACTGAGACAAACAGAGCTGGTACGGAGCATTTTGGCAATGCATTATCCACCCTCCCAAAACCCACAGTTCAGGTGCTCTGATCTGGAGAACATACCGAGGTCAGCACATTAAAATAAACCATTTATCCATGCTTCTCATTTCTTTCTCAGCCATTTATATCCTTTTCACCTGGAAAAGGTGGAGCAGGGAGGCCAACGAGTTAACTCTGTGCTGGCAGAGAAAGGACTTCTTACACTCACTTTACATCTGCTGCCTCATCATCCACTGCTGCCCCCTGGCCTTTTCCTATATGAAAAGTGAGTCCAATCACCCTTACTCAGTATCTCCCTGCCTCCCACTCCTGTATAAGGCCGCATCCGACTCAGCACTTCCATATGTGTTTTATTTTCCACCCTGTAAGCTGTTGTATTTCCCACCTCACTCATCACTTCATATTTCTAGTTCCAGCATAGTTCTCTTCCAGCTTCTGCTCCATACTCCAGCCTTTTAGCTTTCCAGGGGTGGTGGAGAGACGGGCAAGACTATTTACAGTATTCAAGATGGGACACAGTGCAGATTTATACAAAGGTTTGCCAAAACACTTTGAGTAAGCTGAAAAGACTAAACGACTCAAGAGTAACTACTGCTTATTTACCTATTGCAAATAGTTGTGACCCGAATTCCTCTGTCCCCACAATACAGTATGATGGGTGCTCGAAGAGTTACACAGGCACACAGGGATCCTTTCCAAAACCTTCTGCTGCAGACGTTCACCCCCAGAGGAACAGATGAACACGGTCCCTACAGCAAGCTGCAAACAGCCCTTCCCGCACAACAAGCCCCGTTCTGGACAAAACGACAGCCTTCGTTTGGCCAACATGCCATAAGGACACAGCAGCCCAAACCCCTGTTACGGTTAAACAAGTCCAGCACATCTGCTGATATGTAGCTCCATAAATATTTCCTTGTGAGAAAGCCAACTGGTTTTTCCTCCTTCAGCTCGCAAGGATATGGGAGCAAAAGGCAAAATTCACTGCCTTCTCCATGCCTAAGAAGTGCCTGTTTCCTTCCAAAATTCGGACTTCCGATGGGAAGATGATCTCTCCCAAAAGCGCATCTCCCAAAACATCAAAGAACAAAAACTCTAAAAAACCTCTTGCTATTTGGTCCATAGTTTTCCATTACAATGCAAACTGTAGGACAGTAGGTCTCTGCCACAGGAAAACACAGCTGAATATAATTCAGGGTAAGGCAAAGGACAGCCCAGGGGCAAGGGTAAATTCCTTTTCTTCTTCTTCGGTCTTACTCCTGTACAACTGATACTATGGGACAATCTAAGTGGAAGGTCCTGGAGAGGAGAGTGGGCAAGTACAGAGTGAATAGCAGTAGGGAGAGAAGACAAAAATCCTCCGCCCCACCCCCCCATCCCGTAACCTTTCCTAATAAAAGGACTAGCACAGTACAATTATCTGTTTTCTCCTAGAAATCTTAGGTTTGGGAAGAACACAGGTGCCTACATAGGGGATGCTCTCAGCCCATCTTCCACTCATTCTTTTCTTGCCATCTTTACACCTTCAGTATGTATATATACTAAAGAGGACGTTACGCCACCTAGGCAAGTCCAAAACACCCGGATGAAATTTAATAGATAAACTGAAAGTTGGTTCAGAGAAAGCCGGGTACACAATGATAACAATCAGGTCTTTGAAAGGTGGAACCTGGAAAACCATGAATAAATTAGGATGGGCACAGCATCACTGGGAACAAACCAGCACAAACAGAATTTACATTATCTGCCATGGAAAAAAAAAATTCAACAGGTAGAATCAGAATAATAAAGGGTTATGCAAAACTCCTTTTAAACTCCAACCCAGAGTCTCCCATGGGCTGACTGGCCAGATCAGTCTATTTCACAATGTACTGTTTTATTTCTTTTTACAAGGTTGCAAAACATTTCACAATCATTGCTACTCCAAAGCAAATAAACACTCCAACCCGGCTAAGCTGCCCAATGACACTGTTTCTCAGGCGCTGAAAAGCAAAGCTCTGCTTTGCCCTGAAAAATCCTGTTTTCTGTGTGCTGAAGTTGTAGAGTCGGTGGCAGTAAAAAGGACATGGAGCAGAGCCGAGTCCGCTATCACCCCGCACGCTCCGCCTGCCATGCTCTCCCCTCCACCACAGAAACACGGGAATTATTTCACACCAAAGGCATCTCCTCCATGACCATTCCTGGATTCGCCATGCAAGCGTCACAGTGATGGCACACTCTCCCGAGACACGACCTGCCAGCAGGGCAGCCAGCCAAAGCGCCGGGTGCTCCTGAGCAGGATACGGTCAGAAAGGAAAGACGGGAGCCACGAGGGAGAACCGACCAGAGAAGCGGAAGGATAAAGGTGATACCAAACCACTGGTAGTACATGGGAGTCTCAGCCCTTCAAAATGCAGTGAGGAATCACCCTCTTCAACTAAATTTTACATGCTCTGGCCCATCTGGACACACAGGTACACAAAATTACACCATTTCTCCCTTGTTGAAAATCGGCCCGTGCACAGCACCATACTCACAAGAATAAGAACAAACAGAACAACAACAAAAATGGACATTACAGGACATGAAAAATAAATCAATGCCAAAAAATAGAAAAAGTAGGGTGAAAATGAGGAGACATCTCAAGCTGATTATCTTAAAGGAAAAACAAAGATTTCTGTGCAGCACTTTCAAGGAAACAAAGCAACTACAATGACACTTTAAAAAACCTCATTACCTCGAGCTGGCAGCCCCCCAGGGTACAATTTTCCCCGAGACCACTGTCCCTCGTGGCACGAGAGAGACCCGGCTGCTGCAGCCCAGCACAGGGCGAGCACGCCTGCCCGCAGAGCCCTCCGGTTCTTTCTTGCCCCAGAAACCTCTCCGCTGCTTACCTGATGCTCCTCTTCCCGGAGCCAGGAGAACAAGGACAAACATCCCAAAATGTGTCTCGTGAGTCGTTCAGTAATTTCTAATGGTCACGCCACAGGGTGGGGGACGCTGTGAGAGCCGTGGGAAGTAACACCTTTTTTGCCATCACCGTTTTAAGAGTGTTTTGGTACCTAGTCCTGCAGAGACAGGTGATGCTATTGGCTGCAAATGCCTTGTCATTCTTTACAACCCAAAGCCGGTGGTCTGTTTAATACCCATGAAGCTCAGTACAGGGTATCTTAATTAATAAATTTTAAAAAAGGAATCAAAATCTTAAACTGTTTCTGATGGACCGAAGCGTAAGAGAAAAGAACCGAGACAGTGAGGAACTGATGAAAACCTCTTGCTCTGAATTTCCTTTATAGGCGTCAATTTAACTTCGAGGATTTATCCTTTCAAACCCCTAAAACAAAAACTCTCACTATCCAGTGTGTGACACAATGTTTTGGGAGGGGATTACAGGTTTAACGAACAAAAGCAATTTCAATACAATGTATTTACATTTCTTAAGAAATCCAACTTTCTACCACATAGACATTTTAATCAATCAATTCCTTTACATTCAGAGGATCAGTTGGCTCACCCAAAGGCTCAGGAGTAAACATAAACAAGGGCACATCATACAGCAGGTGCCTTTCTAGCCAAATCCCAAACGCATTTGCTCCTCCCCTTATACTGATTTCTATTTTTTTTTAATCAATACTCTAAAAGTTACCGTGGATCCAGTAAAACCCAAACAGCGCAAAGTAACACCTTAGACAACAGGCTGCTAGAACGCTGGGTCGACTGGAGTGCTGCATGACCTGCGTGCGACAGCCGCGCTGCTGCACAGTCCCACGCAGGGTCCAACAGAACGTGACCCTGTCCCAGGAGGCAGGATACAAACCGATTTCGGATGTGATAGTTATAGAATCATAGAATGGTTAGGGTTGGAAGGGACCTTAAAGATCATCCCGTTCCAACCCCCTGCCATGGGCAGGGACACCTTCCACTAGACCAGGTTGCTCAAAGCCATATCCACCCTGGCCTTGAAGACATCCAGGGTTGGTCATGTGCCGAGCGCCAGCTCCATCAGAGGAGGGCGAGAACACTGATGGGACAAATTCTGGTTCTCCATATCCTCTGCCTACGCATGTCAGAGGCAAGGACCACTTCTTCCTACAAGTCTGCCTAATGCCAGCTCTGAGGTGACTAGCTCCTCCGGCTGCCCTTGGAAGACAAATGCTACCGACTCAACACAGTGTGTACTTTTACCAGTAGAATTAATCCTCGTTAGCAACCCCCTGTTGTTATCAGCTGATGGTTGGCCCTAAGACAGGTCGATGGTTGGGTAAGGGGGGCTGCAGGTTAGTTCAGGAGGGCACTGAGGAGAAAGTGGAAGGGAGAGCCTTCGCGTGTGTCCGTGGCAGCAACGTGGGTTACAATTTCTGTCAAAGGACTGAGGGAAGAGAGGAAAAAAAACCACAGGGGGAGGACCATACAACATAGGGGAAGAGGCAGATGGTGTGAGGTTTGGTTAGCCCGGGGGAGAAACGGCTGAGGGGGTGAAACCACACTGTTGCATCCAGCTACCTACGGAGAGATTCCAGCAGCAGAAGTTCAGAGGAAAGGATGGGGCAGCAGACAGGTTCCAGCAAAGGAGATTCCGATGAGCTGTTAGTATAAGATTCTTTTTTTATTATTAATGTGTTTTTTAACATGAGGGTGGCCAAGTCCTGGACCACCAAGGACCAATGAGAAATCCATCCTTAAGAGAAATTCATGGCTTGACTGGACCAAGTCTGAAGCAAAGGCCTGATCCCACCCTGACAGGACGAGACCAGGGTCCCACCTCCAACCCAGCTTGCCCCACATCCTGTGGCTGGACCCAAATTTGGGTGTAGAGGTACCCTATTCACCTGCGTGTAAGGAGAGGAAGGCGAGTTACTCCTGTTTTCTGAGGGTACGTGGATGTGCCGCGCAGGAACCAGCTCAGGAAGCGTCTGTGGGGCAGCCACTGCCCCACAACCATCCGCCCGGCACCTGATCGCACCTGTGAGGACCCTCTGAGCGCTCTTGCCACCCACACCAGTGTGGAACCATGGCCAAGGGTCTGGCAACAGAACGATTGGTTTTGGGGAGCAAAACACACACATCTCACCCCTCCCCGACCAGCGCAAAATGAAAGTAAAGGTAGCAAACACAGGCCCAGTAAATGTTTAAGGTGGTAAAAGCCTCAAGTAACAAAGTTTGCAGAGGCTGGCTGTAGTTCATCTGCTTCACATCTCCTCATTCCGTGCAGACAAACACGCTGCACTTCCGTTCCCTCCACGGCCCTTTGCTGTGTTTTCTGAAGTGGCACATTTACAGTCTCATGCTGCCTGTGATCACAAATATGAACCAGCAAGGGTATTCTTAACAGAACAAAAATGCTGAATGTACAGGATGGGACTGCCCTGGAGGCACTCAGGCTACGAGGAGGTGAGTACACAGCTCATGCAGACACTTGCCCTGTGCAAATGTTTGCGTTATGCAAATATTTGTCAACGTTAAAAATTGATAAAACCGATTTCAAGTTTCTCCGCAGGCCACTGCTGAGGATTTCCAAGATCATTGTATATTCAGGGTAAACACCGCACTGTGAACAAACACAAGCAAGCATCGGAAGGGCGGGACAACAGGATCAGAGCAGTGAGGGAAGGGAGGGCTCAGGGAAGTGCTGTAAAAAGCCTGGGAGGTTTCAGAAACTGGAGAGAGGGAGGAATTGCAGTGTTTATCAGCAAATTCCGAAAGTACAGCATCCAGCCATACAAACCTCAGCCTGGCAAATCCCCTGGCCCCGTGCAAAACTAGCGAGGAGTGAAATATGGTTAATATTAAAATCTAACATCAGAGATAAACTATGGACACCGCTCTTGAAAAATTCTAGTGTGCTTATTTTTGTATCAGAGAAAGGTATTTTTCAACAGATGCCTTTTTGCACTTCAAAATCATAAGCATCTGCTATTTCCTGAGCTTGGTTTATGGATCAACACAGCTCGCTACTAATGAAGAGGAAATGTAAATGTCATCTGAAGAAGCAATTAAAAAAAAATCATTGAATTTTTTTCCTACCTCAAAAATGTTATTGTATTAAGCTCATGCTTGCTTGTCCTCAGACACAAACTTCCTAGTGATTTACAGGTGATTTTAAAGTGTGACCCCTAATTGTTAATGCTGTGAATTACTTACAACCTCAATTTAAAAAGCCTATTAATTTTTGGAAAACACATGAGAAACTGCAGGCCCAAGTCATGATTATTTCACCTTTTTCAACAGTGTATTAAAAATTAGCTCGATTAGAGCAAAATGACTACAAGGCAAGATGACATTCCTTCCTCTTCCTGCATACCAATCCCGCACATGACACCAGGAGCGCGCTTCCAGGCTGCACTTCCAGGTTTCTGGAGGTTTTGAGAAGAGAAAAGGCTGTTTCTCCTTCAGACGGGGTGAGAAGAACGTCATCACTCACTGGTGTGGCCTGTTCCGCCCTCAGGTTAAGCTGGCAGCTTACAAGCAGCATTCTTTCACTACAACCCAATACTGCGATTTCAGCTGAAGACCAGAGAAACACGTGCTGGTTTTAATTTTACCAATTTTTTCTTCCTATGCTGGACTTCTCTCAGAGATTGCAGATTTTTTACAACAAACACAAAGTATTTTTAGAACTTCACAAATGAAAGGAAGCACAATGTCTCTCAAATGATCAGGATTTGGAAATGAAAACATAACACGTGCTACAGTGCAGTAACATGATCTGTTCGTTGTAAAGCAAAACCAACCCCTGGGTTGTTTGTGCCGACAAAAGCACACTTGCTGTACATGCTGCATTGGCAGAATTATGTATTTAGGATCCTGGCACACATTTATGCTAGTAGAAGCCACACCTGATTGCGGCTCCAAGCTAGGAGACATCGCACTGCATACAGTTAGATTCTTACCCAGGGTCACTTACCTGAAAGCTGCCAGTAAGGGAGCGTAAATGGAATCTCCATCGTACACGTACAAGTGGTCCCAACTGCACTCTGTGGCAAAGTGATTGAATCGAAGCCTGAGGATTGTGTTTGGTCTGTAAAAACATAATAATAAGAGATTTCTAATTGGGCACTCGACACACTTGGCAAAGTCCCTCCAAAAGGCCCCTCCAGTGTGAGGCTCTCCTCTAAACAAGACTACAGCTGGGTGACTGTAATTGCAGATGCACCAAACATGCTTTCTGTTTTGCGCTCTCCCCTGCTATTAAGCAATAGATTCTTTATGGTTAGCAAAACTCTGCCTTTAAATCTTTCCCCACCACCAACAGCAGAAATGGAAGAGCAGGCACTGCCAGCCCCCTGCTCTTTACCAGGACTGACTCCCCTAATGCCAGGGCTTTGCAGGGCTAAGCATGGAAAATCCGTACGGACCACACATTTCACTTGTAGATGCGGCATTTTGGAACCTGCGTTAGTGGTGGGCTTGGCAGTGCTGGGTTAATGGTTGGACTTGATGGGCTTAAAGGTCTTTTCCAGCCTAAACGACTCCATGAAGAATCACAGCCACCATCAGGAACTAACCAGAGCTCTTTTTCTTGTTCAAGGGATTTTCTACAGACTGATGTGATTATAATGACTGGAGATTACTTCTTTGTCCGGAAGCTGGTAGAAATGCTCCTTTATTACTTTATGAATGCTGCAGTACCGCAGGATGGCTCTCAGGGGGGAAGCCTCTCCAAACTGGAAACTGGAAATACGCCTTACTGGATGCTAACTAAAGAAATTCTCAGTCTTGTTCACCACCTCTGGGGAACTGGAGAAAACAAGTCAAGAGAATGCAGAGGAAAACTGTCCTCTACAGGATGGGAGGCCCTGGGGCTTCACCTCTTGCCAAAAGGAAGGTCTCCGATTATTACAAGGACCGTGAAGATGCAGACCAAGATGGTTGGTCACCACCTCCATCCTTTACAAATGCTAAGAGGGTTGCTTGGTTTTCTTCTAGCGATGTGTTACACAAACCATTTGGCCCAGCTGAGAATGAATGAGCTGGAAATCCTACGAAGAGATCTGCTGCCCGTCATGTGAATGCAGCAGCCCCAGCACACCCCAGTGTTAACGCCACCCACCAAGAAGAGTCTGTTCTGTTGACTTAGTAGCCAAGAGAAGACCATCAAGAGGCCTGATCTTCTGAGACTTACCAGCAGGAAAAAGGTTTTATTTACTTAACGTGGGGATGGAACCAGTCACTCAGACATCAAAACACATCCACATTTCATACAATCACAGACTTGGTTGGCTGGGAAGGAACCTTAAAGCCTACCCAGTCCCACGCCCTGCCATGGGCAGTGACACCTTCCACGGGCAGGGACACCTTCCACTAGATCAGGTTGCTCCAAGCCCCATCCAGCCTGGCCTGGCTGGATTTCTTTCCCTCCAGACACCAGAGAAGCCCACCAAGCCATGAACAAGTACATGACATGGAGATACTGTTAGTTACATGGCTAATATGCACAGACACATCTAAAGAGAATCACACAGAAGCCACAGCAGGTATTTAATCTAGGGCTCAGCCCAGGGAAGGTGAAAACACCCCCAACGTTATGTTGGAACCCTGAAATTAGAAGAAAGGGAATCTACAGCAGAGCAGGTTTTTCCTACCCACGGCTGTAGCTGTTGGAAAGGTAGATGTGAGTGATGAGGATCTCAACAGCACTGCCCTTGGGTTCAGATGAAACCCTTGTTCATCCTAATCACATAAATTATTAAAATGTCAGCTTGCCAGAGTCTGTCCTTTCCACCAAATGGGGATTCTTTAGGGAGTTATTCTGCAAGAGAATCATTTCTGACAAGCACAATGACCTACTCCAGGACTGGGGGAAGAGGGCAGCAGGTGGGACGCAAGGGAAACATCCTCCTCTGAGGAAAAGGTACAAAGAGTACTCATCGTTTCAACCCAGAGAAGCCCATGAAATCGCAAGGGGTTTGCTTTTATTTAATGGCCTGGCAGCTGTAGAGCAGAAATACACACTAATCAACAGAAGCTCTAGGCCAAGAACAAGAAGAAAGAGAGTGGTTTAGGGCTAGCGCCTCATTAGGAGACAGCGCTCATTTGCAGTATTGCAAGGCAAACAGCTACAGGTTCTGCCTCCGATGGGATTCTCAGGCTGGCTGGATCCCATCCACCTTGTCTTGTGCTCCTGGGGAAAAGCAAAAAGGACACCCTCGGGATGAGGATAGAGCACGGATACCAAACAAGAACAGTCAGGAGTGGCAAAGAAAGGAAGCAAATGCAGTAAGGGATACATGGCTTATTTTACATGGGAGTTTACCTGGTGCCTCCACTCACACATGAGGATTGTGCCTTCACATGCTCGCCTCAGAAGCCCTCCACACACCAGAATGCCAGCGCCAAGGCAAGGCCAGCAGAACTTCACAGCTTTGCAGAAGCTGTTTTCCAAGTCCAGCTCTCCTGGGGAATCCCGTATTTGGCAGAGAGCTTGGGCTATTCTCAGCAGTGCATGTTTCAGCTGGTTTAAGCAGTGTGATTATTTCCTGTTTACCACCACCATCTGACAGTAGGGTACAAACCCCCAGAAGCAGGAAGAGGACTCTGACCCAAATGCCTGGCTAGGAAGAAGGAGGAACATTTCTGTGCAAGTAAGATCTCACTTCACAGCAAGTAAGATCTCACTTCAAACCCACAGTGACAGTTCTCAAGGAAACCTCTCAGTACAAGCAAACCAAGGCCAAGGAGTAGTTATGGTGACCTTATCAGGGACCCGTGAGCAGCACTTCACCCCTCACACAACCATGAGTCACATTATCCTTTAGAAACAGAAGCCAGGAGGGGGAAGCTGGCTGCTGTGGAATTGCTGAGGCTGGTTTGTCTGTAATAACATTCCTGCAGAACAGTTTTTAATTACCTGTAATTGCAAACTGTCTGCGGTTGTATTTCTGTTACCTACAAAAATTACGAGGTGCTGCCACTCACAGCATCTAACTTCGATCTCAACCACCCGAAAGAATAGGACTCCTTATGTAGTTAACTGCAAGGGGTAGGCTCCCGGTGTCTGTTCTGGATGGCTCTCAGGAACAGCTTAGCCCTTACCTTCGATATCCTGGGAGCTTAGGTATTGAAGTTACTCATCCAACATAGGAGTCTGAAGCAAACGGAGTGAATGCCAACCTCCCCCCACCCATCAGACCTCCCAGACAGAGAGAAGACTAAAGAAAAAAGCACACCCTGGGCTTTTAGTAAACTCTGATCCTCCAAGGTGCTGAAAGGCTCCAGCTGCCAGGTGTCCAGTGCAAGGAAATCATCCCTGCTCCCATACAACTTGTCCCTGCTCACAAATACCTCTAATTCCAGAGCCAGGGAACAGTATGGAACGTGACTTAACACATAGCTTAACGCACAGCCATCAGAACTGACCACGCCAAGTTTTAGAGACTAAACAAATTGATTTTACAGTCCTGGCATCAGCTTGCTACTATGAAAAACATATTTCAGCAAGTCAGATGCTCTGAGCTGCTGTATCATCAATCAGATGACAGCCAGAGGATAAACACGCTACTCCTAACAGTCCCTGCAAGAAACCCCTACAAGCAATGAACGGATCAAATACCGGAAGGGTAGGGAGATGAGGGGAGGTTTGCAGTTTAGGAGACCTTTGCAGGAAAGGTCAGTGGTCCCTCTGAAGCCTTCATGGCCTAGCGAGTAAATAAGCATCTGAAGTGACTCATTACAGAAACTGATTCTGCACGAAGAAGGGCTTTAAGAGAGGTTGCTCTTTTTTTTCTCCATACTGCCAAAAATTCCCATACATAGTGAATCCCCAATGTGCATGGCCCACTATGTCAACAGTTGCATAATTCACGATTGCTTATTTATTTAGACAAATGCATTTATTCTCATTTTCCATGTGCGGTTTCACCACAAAGGGTGTTTTACGTGGCAAACCTCTAATTCACAAGTCAGGTTGGAGGGCTCAGATGCACAAAAATCCCCAAAACCTTGTTTACCAAGACTAACCAAGTGCTGCCCTATCTGCTTTTAAGAACAGCAAAAAGAATCATGGGATCTACAAATACTCAGTGCAGCCAAACCCCACCTAAAGGCCACAACAAGCCCCAGTGAAACCCAAGGTGCCTGCTACACTCACCTTCCTTCAATAAGCCACGTGCATTTTGTTTTGTATTTGTAATTTCCGGGCCCATCCGTTACATACCCTGACGGTCCAGTGAGTCTGTAAATAAGAAAGAGAGACAGGCATTAGTCTTCAGGGGTATTAAACATTTATGAAGGATTTCCTACATTTAGAAGATCCATCATTAGATTTTCCTTCATTTCAGAGCTACTGCACACCAACCAACAGCTGCATATCAGGCAAGTGAAACTCTCCTTTCAAACTCTCTGCACAGGCTTTCTGACGATTGTCCTCATGTACCAACAGTCAAGAACGACAACAGTGTCTCTACCAGAGGGATGGTATTGTTTAAATCCACATATATGTGTACGCCACAGAACCAGCCAAAGGAGTTCGCTAACAGGAAAGCAACAATTATTGCTACACTAGTTATTTAGACAAACTACACGATTCTTGCATGATATTCAGATTAAGTCCGTGGTGCGACCACTCGTCCATTCTGTCTTCGACTCTTCAGAGAGTCCTTGACCTCCTGAACGGCGAGCTGATCCCCGTAACCCTGGAGTGCCAACCAAGACCTTAGAGCCTCCTGCACCAAGGGCTGCATAACACTGGACATTACCAGAGCACAGCAGGTCCAGGCATCCCCACCCACAGGAGCAAGCACATTCCCATCCCTGTGTCATCCCATGTTAATTGACTGACATCAAGGAGCCAAGTGGTTCCTGCTGCCAGGGTGCTCCAGCACTACCTTCTGAGCATCCCTTCCCCCTGTGCCTATAAAGAGGAGACAACAACTTGACAGTAGCAAAAGGCTCTGGAAAAGGATGTAAAAGCAGAAAGTACAGTTGGAATCATTCCTCCCAGGACACTCAGTGAATGCCAGCACCTGAAACCATTAAAAATTCCAGATGCCACTGAAAGAGAGAAGGGAACAAAGCCGGCAAAGGACTTATGCAACATCTGCAATCACTGCACAGAGCAAATTGTGCACTGGGCTAGGCACTGCTTGCAGGGATGGCCAAACAACTGGCAGCAAACCCAGTCTGGAGCTCAGAAAGTGCTTTGGTGAAAAGAACCCAACAGATTTTGAACTCTACTCCATCCTTTGTTGTGGGATAACGGAAACTGGTATTCCTACTCATTACCTGGAATGCTCATGACTTGTGTACCCCATTATTTGTAATGAGCACAAATGCGGGTATGGGAA